AGGAGTTGTAACGTTGAAACATGTAGAGTCGTCAACTTTTTGAAGGCCATAGATAGGCCTAAATAAAATGTTTTTAATTGTGTACGAGTTTAACGTTGAATATTATTTATGATTTTAACTTTATACACAAGTACCAAAATACTATAATTAAGTTACAAATAATTGTAATAAAATCTACAATTCTCTCTGAGTTAGCTAAAATTAGCTTTAATGCAAAAATATGAGAAAATCGAAGATGAGATGTATGCTGATAGTCGAAAATTTGTTGATGAAATCCAACATCTACAACTTCAATCGTTCATGCTTTCCTAAATATCCGTATTTCATAGGACAGAAAAAATAAATTCTGTTCGATTCGCATGAATAAAATCTATACTATAAGATAGCTTGAGTCTGTTTGTCTGTCCGTAACGAAAATGTTCCAACTTCTCTTCCTCTGATCATTATGAATCTTTCAGGAGTTTTTGAGTATATTATCCGAGGGATTCCAAAACACCCTTACCTTAATACGTAAAAACTGACAGTTCTTGTGCAAAGATGTTAAATAAAATAATACAACGAAGATCAACCTTTTTTTTTATTTGCACAAACATTTATTTGTAAAGTTAAAAAATTTCAAATATACAAGCTAAAAGAAACCTAAAACTCTACATGTTTGCTAATTATACACATACCTTAGGTTTATAAGTAGTGTTATGTGTACTTCTTGAGGGATTCTCCTGAAGATGGTGTAATTATTTACATCGAAACATGTAGAGTTTTAGGTTTCTTTTAGCTTGTATATTTGAAATTTTTTAACTTTACAAATAAATGTTTGTGCAAATAAAAAACGTTGATCTTCGTTTTATTATTTTATTTAACATCCTTACCTTACTAAATTCTTCATTTTTTTTACAAATTTGACACCAGTTGAAGTTTTTCATTTTTCTACTACCGGCAAATGACCTACAAACACTCTGTCCTTTATGTCTTTCCTTTTTCTACTACCGACAAATGACCTACAGACACTCTGTCCTTTATGTCTTTCCTTTTTCTACTACCGACAAATGACCTACAAACACTCTGTCCTTTATGTCTTTCCTTTCTCTACTACCGACAAATGACCTACAAACACTCTGTCCTTTTTCTACTACCGGCAAATGACCTACAAACACTCTGTCCTTTATGTCTTTCCTTTTTCTACTACCGACAAATGACCTACAAACACTCTGTCCTTTATGTCTTTCCTTTTTCTACTACCGACAAATGACTTGCAAACACATTGTCCTGCACTCATTGTGAGACAACAAAATTTCGCGCCTGGAGCACGTACCTCTGCTGGTTTGTGAAAATCATGAATTCCAACTACTTTTTAAATAGTTTAAATGTAGGGCCTTTTTATAAAAAAAAAAGGTGACAAATAGACAAAATAATAAACTCATATATAATGTAAACAGATTCAAAGCAGGAATGATTGAAAATAAGGTAATAGGGAGATTATATTACTATAAATAAAGTTTATAATATTCATCATAGTACTCACTTGCTGTCCTTCAGCTCAATACTGCATCAAAAAAGAAGACTGGTTTTTATTACTGGCGATTTCAGTTATATACTGTTGGTGTCGGTTTCAGTGTTGCGCAAAGCAAAATATAAAAGATAACACTATCAAGTGACTTTTATATTTTTGTAGATGATGTATTTAGTTTATCAGTTATTTGTTTTACAAATTAGGACATTGCCATCGCTGCCGGATAACAATAATGAAATCAGAGATATTTGACTGAAGTATTTTTAATTAATAGCTTCATTACTTAAATTCTTGGTTTCTACGGGGTAGTTACCATGAATTTCATCACATTATTAAACAATTCTCATCATACGAATCATGTTAATAAAAGCATTTTATACTACAAAAACTCTGATACTTTTGTTTTTATTTTACCTATTAATATCCAGTAATTGTACACTTAGATTGACTTTTCGTTGTATCATAACAGTTATGAAATATCAAATATTTTGGATGCTCCCAATGCCTCAGGGATTAGAACTGTATATGATTTAAAGTTTTATATTTTGCAAAGTTTACCAGTATGTCGAAACATAGATTTGTTTTTATTAAGCTCAAGAATGAGAAAATAGAGCTGGGACTATCTGGAATGACTTCAGAATAAAAGAATAGGAGTGTCGGATTACTGTTGTTCTAGCATTTCTTAGAAATTGTGGATACTGTGCAATCAGAAAATAACTTTCTTAGAAGTTGAGGATGCATTGCAATCAGAGAACACGTTTCTTAGAAGTAGTGGAAACACTGCAATCAGAGAATAAATTTGATGATTTTTTTACTTTGTTTAGTTGTGTCAACCTTGTTATTTTCAGAGAAAATTTAATATTACTCTTTTATTTTCCAATATCATATTTATGCTTAATCATACGATTCGTAATTTTGTTGTTGTTGTTCTCTTAAAGAAATTGAACTGTAGAATTAGCATAACCAAGCTAACATATAGCATAATCATGAACATAATTTTCAACCTGAAAAGCAGCTTATACGCAAGTGAACTAAAACGTCATGTTCAGAAACTCCTGTGGTTCAGGTACAGTCGTCGGCAATTTTGAATTACTGACCGAAAGAAAGGACAAGACGCCAGACAGCAGCGCTCGCCGTTACAAGAGTTTTTTCTCCGTCTCTTTGCAACAAATAACGGGACTTGCTGTCACTTTTGTATTGCACCCACACTTGAAAGTGTGGAGCATGTCCAGCTGCATCACGTTTCAAACTTTGTACTGTTATGTCTGCAACCCGACTGTGTAATCACTAGAACAAGTTTGCTGTTATGTCTGCAACCCGACTGTGTAATCACTAGACCAAGTTTGCTGTTATGCCTGCAACCCGACTGTGTAATCACTAGACCAAGTTTGCTGTTATGCCTGCAACCCGACTGTGTAATCACTAGAACAAGTTTGCTGTTATGTTCGCAAACCGACTGTGTAATCACTAGACCAAGTTTACTGTTATGTCCTCTAAACCAACGTTGTAAGCAGTAGGTCAAGCTTGCTGTTAGTGTTATGTCCGCAACCCGATACTGTAAGCACTAGACTAAGCATGTTGTTAGGTCCGTAATCTAGCACTGTAATCACTATCCCAAGCTTGCTGTTATGTTCGCAAACCGACACTGTAATCACTAGACCAAACCTGTTGTTAGGTCCGTAATCTAGCACTGTAATCACTATCCCAAGCTTGCTGTTATGTTCGCAAACCGACACTGTAATCACTAGACCAAACCTGTTGTTAGGTTCGTAACCTAGCACTGTAATCATTAGACCAAGCTTGCTGTTATGTCGGCAACCCAACACTGTAATCACTAGGCTTGGCTATTGTAAACAGAAAACTTACTGTAGTCTTTAAATTAGAGGATCACTCTGACATAAAACAGAATTGAGGAAAAACAAGACAATTCTACATTTCACAAATAAATCATTTATTACGACCATGGTTTCGCCAAGTAATTGATGATGCCTTTACTGGCGAAACCATGGTCGTAATAAATTATGTGTTTGTGAAACGTACAACTGTCTTGTTTTTCTTCAATTCTGTGATTATGGTTTGTTTGTTATGGATTTCGCGCAAAGCTACACGAGGGCTATCTGCGCTATCCATCCCTAATTTAGCAGTGTAAGACTAGAGGGAAGGCAGCTAATCATCACCACCCACCGCCAACTCTTGGGCTACGATTTTACCAACGAATTGACCGTCACATTATAACGCTCCCACGGCTGAAAGGGCGAATATGTTTGGTGGGACGGGGATTCGAACCCGCGACCCACAGATTGCGAGTCGAGCGCCTTAACCACCTTTGATTATGAAGTTTCACCAAGTACCGACAGTTTCAAGTATCAGTTATATAAAACTTAAGCACTTGTTACTTATACAGAATTCAGGAATTTTAAGAAAGTTGAAACACGGAACATAAAAACTACAGCTTAGTCCTAATACGAAATTCAAAATTATAGGACTGTTGTAGCTCAAATTTTACAAATTAGAAAATTCCTTAAACGCGAAACTTAGAAACTACACAAAATTAGAAATTATAGAGTTGTTCTGCTTAGAATTTACCAATTTACAAGTTTATTCAAATGTGAAACTTAGAAATAATTGTTGAACTATTTTACCAAAAACCTAGAAATAAATCATGTTGAAAATAGAGGTTGTAATACTTGTAAAACACACAAGCATATCTTAACTCATTACTGTCTGACGTCAGTTAAAGTTAGAACTATCAAAAATAGTTTAGCTTAATGTTATTCTCAATTTACGAGCTTATGAGATAGCGTATCTTTTACGTTTACTGGGGTTTAGCTTTAGCTTGATGATTTTTTTTTCTGGTTGTCTATGTAAAGTTATAACAGAATATTTTATTTGCAATAATTACACAGGCCTGCGATGGTTTTATTGTCTTGAATTTTTTACATGTTCTACGGTAATTCCTGCATGGTGAATCCGAAAATGATATCCATTTTTCTCCATCACGTACAGACTTTTCACAAAACGTCATATGTACTTTTACATAAGTGAATAATTTTAATTGAAATAAGGTCACATTTTCTTATGCTTAAAATATTGACAATCACTAGCTATAGATTTCTCTAGACCAATCGCGACATGAGAGTCTTATAGATCATTCTAGAACCCAAACATAATAATAAAACATGTTCATTGTGGTAAACGAAAGAATAATTTGATCTAAATAAGAGTTTTTTTTCCCGATTTGTAAAAAATCCTTACGTGATGGAAAAAATAATAATATAATTTTCGAAGTCTACGTAACTGAATTATGGAAGATTCGCAGTTAAAACCAAAACAACTTTTATGAAGTTTAAATTCGCAGGCCCGTGTAATTGATACATGCTTGTTCAGAAACAGTAAATTTTAATTTATAGATACAGACTTAATAACAGAACGTGTATTGCTAAATACGCGTACTAGACAAAAATCTTATTGAAAAAAATAAATAAACTTAGAATTTGTTATTCCTGCGCAAAAATACCCTTACTCCAAATGCTATGTATCTATATACTGTCATTTTGAACGACAAACTAAAACAAACAAGTAACAACAACATTCGTATTCTATAATAAAGTAGATTGATCAAAAATAGAAGAAAAACCTTTTATTTACATCAATATCAAACGTATTATTTTTCAGGCCATGCGTTGTATACTGATTAGCGTGCAGGGTTGCGGACGAGAAGGTTCGGGTATATGCCGCTGAACACAGTCGGAACTGACAGCTGTGGGCGCGTTATGATGTGACAATCAATCCCGCTATTCAGTTAAGAAATTGTGTCTCTGACCGAGCAATTAACTCACGTGTCGCATAAGATGTCGTTTAGGCTACAAATGCCAACTTAATATTCCGTATGTATAATCAACCTATTGTTATAAATAACTTGTGTATTAATGGTTTTTGAACAAATAAAAATCTTGAAAGTTAAGTGGGTTTCATTATGTTTGCAGTTTATTAGTTTATTGTGTTTTGTTTGAAGTATGATACTTGGATAAATAGTAAAATAAAGCTCTTGCAAGGTAATTGTAAACCTATGATGTCGTCCAAGTCAAGACTTGAGAACAAATATCTAAATAAACGTATTTTAATCCGTAGCGTTTGGACGACAGTATCTGAGAAGCAGCTCATGGACTATAAAATCGACTATCATTTTTTCAGAAACTATCGTTATTTTAACATGAAATGTTCATGAATATTCTTCGTTATAAATCATAAAATGAATGTAGTATGTGTATTGTCAGTAATTTCAGAAAATTTAATTAACATTCTAAACCTTAAGATAGAAATTTTGATCAATGGAAAAAACTATGTTGATTACGTTTGAAAACAGAAGAGTTAAGACATGATGGGGGAAAAAATTCAAGAAATTCACATAGACCTTATCTCCCGTTGGAGTGATTTTAACCATTCCTTTGTTTCCAGATTTTGACCACGATGTATCTGTATTTGTTATGTTATATTTATCTCTAAACATAAACTAACCGACTTTTTTAGCTCGAGCAGTTTTTGCTTAAAAAAACTTGTTTGTAAATTCTTAAATAAAGTTAGATTGTACATTGTTGGTTTGTATAAGTAAACAGTATCGTGTGTTTTACAAGTGTTAACAGGTGGTTAGGTCGCTCGAATCGCAGTCTGCGGGTCACGGGTTCGAATTCCCGTCACGCCAAACATGCTCGCTCTTTGAGGCGTTATAATGTGACGATCAATCCCACTATTCATTGGTAAAAGAGTAGCCCAAGAGTTAGCGGTGGGTGGTGATGACTAGCTGCCTAACGCAGATAGCCTTCGTGTAGCTTTGCGAGAAATTCAAAAACAAAAAACTGTCTTTTCGAAGTCAAATAAAATCGTATGTCATGAAAATATTTCGATATATGTATAAGAATAGTCAAAGGTGTGAAAAATCCAGAAATGCTTAAAAAACACAGTTGGACACCATAGAAAACTTTGTGGCGTGGCTGACAAATACTTTTGATGTCACACTTTTATTTTTGATATTAGACAATTCAATGCGATAC